CTCACCTACCAATCAGACGCCTACAACTCAGCATGCGTCGTAGCAAATACGCATTTTGGTTTGGCGAGGTTTCCTATGACTGATCTTCAGCTCATGCTGGAGTTCCGGCTGGTCTACGCTGAGGCTGTTGTGATGCTTGCCTTTCTCGGTCGGTCATAGGAGTTCGGAGTAACTAAAAAGGCCTCAGTGAAGAAACTCAGAGATGAAACTGGAATTCCACCGCAGAGGCTCATCCAATTCCTCCATTTCCTTGATTTCCTCCATATGGGATATATAGGGGATATCGGGATATCCATATTTGCCTCCTTTCCTTCCCCCTATGCGGGACTCATCCATTTCTTCTATCGCGTCACATTTTCCAGGTCTTCGAGCTGCTGCGGGAACACTACACTGCCGGACCCGCCGACGTCACGCCGAGAAGCCGCCTCACTCCATTCCCAAATAGCTTAGATTGAATGGGCTTCTAAGAAGCTTAGATTGCGGCGAGACCTTTTGACTCACTTTGACCCACATCTCAGTGATAACCAGGGTTGTAGGATGGCCCTTCTTTGCTCATGTGTCGGGGAATGTCCATTAGGATGCTAAACAACCTGGAACTTGTAACCGTTTCCCACCTATATATGGAGCATCCATGTTGACAATTTCTTAGCGAGTGTTCATTAAGAAGCGGTACATATTCAGATAATCAGATAAGATTCTTCACATGGTTTAACACCCAGCATGGCCACCAGCATTTCTCACGCTTTCGATGCTGTTCCGACATCCAGCTGCTTCGGTAAACCGGTAGACCCGGCGAGCGCCGAACTCGGCACAGGAGGGCTTGAGAGCTGCAGTCGGATGGTCCTAGTGAAGTTGCTGAGGCGTGCCAAGCAGCATGTGCGAGCATGTGCTGCGCAGCGCATGCCTAGATTTAAAGATATAAGTGTAGGTGTTTTAAAACATAATTTATGTACACATAATATACCTGTGTTTTTAAGCTATACAAAAATATCTACTGTATCAAGAAGAAGAACACTCGTATTTGGAGAGGCTGCACGCGGTCCAGGATGACGTCCATCATTAGTAGTTGTAACTTATCTGCCTACGTCTCGCACCAGCATTTCGCTTCGCACCATGTCCCGCACGCGCAGGGACAAGCTTTGCAGCCTCCATGCGTGGCCCAGTGAAGGTGAGGGTCGGGTTTTACGCACTCAATGTCCCAGCGTGTGTGTTTTAATTGTTTTTGTGGGATCCCTTTGAATCCGTTTTAATCGATTCTATTTTGCCAAGTAGTCCCATGCCTCGTTTCAGACATCGTGTGACACTACAAGGCTAAGCAGCTGTGCTTGATTTTCAGCATATGCAGCTGTTCAAGGAGGAAAATAGAAGAGAGACGTGAGCCCGAACTTGTTCAACTTGTGAGTGATGTCAAAAAAGTCATCGATAGAGAGAAACAGAGAGAAAGTGAGACAGCACAATTGAGAGACAAAGTTCACTCCAAGCTGGAAGCGAGCAAGTCAAGGTTTCTGTCCATAGAATCTGGAACTCCAATGGGGCTGGGGTATGTGGATGCTCACGGTGTTCCATCTCCTGTCAGTTGCTTCAGCATCGCTTCCGATGCCCTGCGCCAGCCATTTTCAGCCTCAGATGCCCTGCACCGACGTCGGCAGCACGATCAGCCACGATGGCTGTCTCCTCATTGCTAGATCTTGAGGTGATCGGCTTGGACGGCCAAGGGCATCATCTTCGTGTGTCGAGTTCTCTAACTGGCCGTCACCTGCGGAATATCATCAGTGAGCGTTTCCCCAAAGCCGGCGCCCGGGTCTCCCTGCAGAAGGGTTCTGAGATGATTTTGCTGAACAAAACTTTGGAGGAACAGGGCCTTTTTGAAGCTGCCAGCATATCCTGTGTGTACATTCCGGCAAGCTTAGTAGATGCCTGGAGATTTATGCAAGGCCTGACGGTCGAGGACGAAGAGACCGCGCTAGAAGGAGTATCGCATGTCGAAGGGATCAATAGCATGAATCAGTCGAAAGAGCTGCCCCACACCTTGCGGACGCTAAAATTTGGGACTGAATTCAATTACACTTTGGATGGAGTGACTTGGCCAAGCCGCATCCGGAATTTGACTTTCGGGGCACAATTTAATCAGAACTTGGAGCGGGCGACCTTGCCAAAGAACCTGCTACATTTGACATTTGGCGACCTATTTAACAAGAGTTTGAAGCGTGTGACCTTGCCAAATGCGCTTGAAACTCTGACGTTTGGCTGCCATTTCAACAAGTGTTTGAAGGGTGTGGCTTGGCCCGGCACGCTCCAAAGACTGACTTTTGGCACGCAATTCAACCGGTGCTTGGAAGGAGTTGCTTGGCCGAGCGCACTTCAGGAGTTGACGTTCGGCTCACAATTCAACCAAAGTTTGGATAGAGTGACGTGGCCTCGCAGCCTCCAAACATTGAACTTCGGCAAGCGATTCAACCAGACGTTGAAGGGAGTTCTTTGGCCACAGAATTTGCGAAGTTTGATGTTTGGCAGTGACTTGAGCCAGTGCTTGAATGGAGTGATTTTGCCCAGGAACCTTGAGAATTTGATCTTCGGCGATTCTTTTGACCAGAGCTTGGAGGGTGTGACTTGGCCCAGTCACCTCAAGAACCTGAGTGTTGGCGACCAGTCCGGTAAGAGCTTGAAGCAAGTGAATTGGCCAAGCAGCCTGCAACAGCTGACCTTTGGCAAGGTTTGCCAGCAATCTCTTGACGGTGTGACTTGGCCCACATGCCTTGAGACTTTGAGTCTGGGCGACCACTTTAACAAGAGCTTGGAGCAAGTTACGTGGCCGAATCGCCTCCGTTGTCTCACGTTTGGTGTCGAATTCAACCAGGCTTTGGACGGTGTGACTTTCCCCAGTGGCCTTCAGACCCTGATTTTCGGTGAGCACTTCAACCAGAGTTTGGACACAGTCACATGGCCCAGCGGCCTTCGAAACATAACCTTTGGTTCCAAATTCAACCAGAGCTTGGATAGGATAACTTGGCCCAGCAATCTCCAGAGCTTAGCATTTGGCAATGATTTCACCAAAGGTTTGAACAGAGTAGTTTGGCCTCATGGACTTCAACACCTTACATTTGGCCAAGAATTCAACCAGAGTTTGGAGCACATCAGTTGGCCCAGTCTGCAGACTTTGACATTTGGTGACCGCTTTAATATGCGGTTGAAGCGAGTAGCTTTGCCAGACAGCATCCAGAGCTTGGTCTTTGGTGACCTCTTCAACAAGAGCATTCGGCGGGTGGCTTGGCCCGGCAGCCTTCGAAGCTTGTCGTTTGGCTCCCGATTCAACCGGAGACTCAAAGGGGTGAAATGGCCCAAGAGTCTCCAAAGTTTGAGGCTTGGCACCCATTTCAATCGTCCGCTGGAAGGGGTCACTTGGCCAAGCAGTCTTCGGACGTTGACCTTTGGCAGCGACTTCGATCAGCGGTTGGATCGAGTGACTTGGCCCAGCAGTCTTGAGAATTTGACGTTGGGCTCGGGATTCAACCAGCGAGTCCTTTGGCCCAACCACCTGCAGAGTTTGAACCTCAGCGGCCAAGCGAAAGATGTAGTGGAACCAGTTCAGCTACCCAGCAGCTTGAGGAGTTTGGATTACAACGGCTTGGTCTTGAGGGCGCACTGCTAGCTGGAAAAGTATCGAAAACATCTTGACACTGCTGACATTCATTCAGAATTTGGTTGGCACAGCAGCTGCAGCAGCTTTGTTGTTTAAGATGTTTTAAGTTCCCTGTCCGGCATTTGTTGGAGTGGTTGAGCAACCAGGGGCCCGTCGCATACGTCATGTGGCAAAGGACGGAGTGGGTGCATGTGCAAATAGCCAGGTGCCCTTCAATCCTTTCTGGGTGCCTTGCCTGCGGCGGCCAAAGATGACTTGACCTTGAAGCAGGCGCGAAATGGCATGATAGGTCTCAGGTGGATGCATGACTATATAAATTAATCAGACTAAGTCCATGTCAAAACCTCCAGCCATACATGTACACACGGTAACCAGGGATTCAGCGGTAGCCACGGGTATACACGGTAGCCACGGTACACCTCCGCGGAGCGTGGCTTCAGAGATTCGCGGTGAACGTTAGCCCTTTATGTTACTGCAGTAGCCAGTGAATACTTAGCACTTGACTCGATGCAACGGTAAGAATGCTGGGTCAGTTCAACAGAATGTTTCCACACAGGTGAGACGTGGATAGTCGATTAATAAAACAATTTGGCAGGTACGTGACTTTGGCGCCCCAAAGTCATATCACAACACAATGGAAAGGTCTTCGTTGGGCAATGCTTTCCAAAGTGTTCATCGCCCCCCTGCTTCTGTACAAATGGACTCAAGCGGAATAGAGTAGAGTAGGTTAGTGCCCCTTGGAAAGGGGTTTGAAACACACACATGCAACATCATGTCCTATTTTTCTACATTTTTGAGTTCCACTATTCTATTCATCAGAGTCCTCCAACATCCCATGTCATCTCGCCCATTCGGTTTCGAGGCCTTGCGTGCGATGGCGCGCGACTTCGAGATGGTCCCACCACCCATCCCAGAGTCCTTGCTCAAGGCCCTGCGTGGGGAGTTGATGTGATGAGGGGGCCGAGGGGAGGCAGGAAAGAACACTGAATGATGCTGAATAGTAGTTCAGCGTAGTTCAGTTTACCTCGAGCTTCTCTTAGCCAGAGGGACTTGGGAAGAGGAACGCTCGTAACTACATCTGGTTTCAAAGAAGGGGATGTTGGACTTATTCGTTTTGGGCTTGGACTCTTTTTGAATAGGAATGGCCAGCTGCTCATTTACTCTCCCTTACAGCAGGGCACATGAACCCTCAGCTAAACACATGCCCCATCACGATCAAGGAAATGACCACATCCGTGGCCATCACTAGCCCAGGTGTCCATCAAATTCTATTAGTTATGCACTTCCCCATGCTTCTCCAAGAAGCTTTCCAGTGTGATCTTCGTTTGATTGAATATATCTCCCCCTTTCCACGTCATCCTTGGCTCCAGCGCCACCTCCGCAAACTAATTCACGGCCGTCGCTTTGCCTGTTGCGCACCCGGTCGCGATGTTCTTCAGATGGTGCCCGGGTAGCAAGCTGTTTCCACTGGGTTGGCCTTGTAGCAGGAGAGGGGCCCTGAAAAGGTTGAAGTTGAAACTAGATTGATGCAAGTGCCTGCTAGTGGCCATTGATATAATGGATTGGTGCCTGCTGAACACACTGTTGCGCTTCAAATTTATGGCAACATCTTGAGACGACCTGGAGTTCAAACATTGTTCAACACAGGGTGCCCACCAAATTCCCAGCCAGTGTGGCTGGTCCTGGAATTTTGACCTCAGCATCACTACTGAGGCAGCAGTTTTTCTTCTCCTTTGCCATCCTAGGGCCCTACATGATGACCTACGCCTGGTCTTTGAGCTTCTGGGTGCGTCTATGCACCGGCTTTGTGGCACTCAGTCAGGCGGCCTCACAGATGATCTACTACAAGAATCCCTCCAATGCCGTGGTGCCGAACCCGGCCAACCCCTTTGGTGATAGCACCTTGGTGGATTAACGTCATGATTGCAAGGAATAGAACATTATATAGTATTTGACACTCACTTGGAACAAGTTTTTGCTAAAAAGGGTAGGAAAATCATTTGCAGGTAGAAGTGTACACTTAGAACATGCATGTTCTAAGTGAGGGAATGTTGTTTTGGGAAATATCTACAGTAAGTATATGTCCGTCGCTATGTATATATAATGTATATAATATCTGTTACTACAGTATGTGTGAGATTTTGCATGCATATGATAGCTGCATATGTCCACTTTTTTCTACTATGACATCAACATAAGAAAAGAGATGACACAGGAGAAGCTAAGGGCACTTTAAAGTCTTTAAAGGGGCTCTCACCTTGTCTTTTTTTTTTCCCATGTCTGCCGCGCCAGAACCTCATGGGACCGCGCCAGCTGTGGAGCGCTAAAGCTTCCACTGTCCTTTGAGTCCAGTCGGATGCACCCACCATAGACATGCCACCAAGCCTTGTTACTGTAAATAAACAATTGCAAGACCTCCTGTTGCTTGCCCTTTGATTGCTCTGATTATTCCGCTTCTGCGAACCTGAGCCAGTCTACTCACCCACAAACTCATAGATCTCAAGCACCTCCAACTTCTACAGCTGATACTTTCCAGTTGGATGGTAGGCAGCATGCTGCTCATGAACACCATCACCGTCACCATCTTCACCCTTCAAGATCATTTTGGCACCAACTGTTTGGCATCACCGTGGACTGCTGTCCCATCCTCCAAACCGAGATATAGCGCATCCAGCTGGAAGAGGACAATCATCCTAAACCCATCTCAAACCCATGAAAACCCATGGTTTGTGACGTTCGTTCCTGGTAGGGCCTGGAAAAGGGTATCCTGCACCTCCCCCTCACCATCCCCTCCTGCCCTCCCGAGGCTCTCAGGAGTTCATCGCGCTGTGCATCGCCTCGGGCGTTTGCGGCGCCCTCTTCGCAGCCTTCTCCGAGCCCATCGGCCTGCTGATCATCCAGCAGCTGGGTCGAGGGCTCCAGGGGCCCAAAGAGTGTTGAAAAGGAGAGAGAGAGAGAGAGAGAGAGAGAGCGGGTGGGAAGATGGACTCAAATAGCTCACAAGCAACAGATTGTGTTTCTCAGAGGGGGGCTTGAAATTGGAAAGGGTTTGGTTGACCACAGGCAACTTGCATTCCTTCCGTCGCCAGTGATATTGCTGACCACAAGTTAAAGAACTTGTTGCTGTAAGGGTTTTGGTGCATGATCGGGGACTGCCCCACACCTACTTTGTGAGGGAATGCACATTGAAGGGAAACTGGTTGAACCAGAGGTAGGTCCCCATTTTGAATCCGGAGTGTGGCTTACACGTTGAAGCCAATGATGCATGATGCATGTATAGAATCTGGGTACTGATGCAAGGATCTTTGGTATAGACTCTAGACGGTGCGAGGAGCATTTATGCCCCCCAAATGAAGTCGGACTCCCAATCTGGTGACCTTGGCATGGTAACTGGCGTTCTATCACTTGCCCTCTTTGGCCGACCGGGCAAAAACACATCAGGGGGGTCGAGTCGACTGCATGCGCTGCTTGGCCTCCATCCGTCCTTTAGTAGCTTGCTCCTAGTAGTAAGGCCAGGAGCGCCCTGTCCGTAGCGTCCGATCGCTCCGTTCGTAGCGATGTCCTTTGTTACGTTCGTTTCTTTCTACATCCGTCCTTCAGATGTCAGGCTTTGGGGGCTCTTTTGCATCTACTCCATGGCCACCGTGGCCAGTGAGCACTTCAAGCCGCTGCCCAACTCAGCCACTTCACCGGAAAACGGGGACGGGTTGCTCACCCCGGGACACCCCAGTGGAGGGCAGCGCACCCTTCCACAGCGGGTCGTTTTGGCCCAAAACAGTTGGCGAAAGAGCTGATCGTATGTATGCTACAGCCACTCTAGCATCACTTCTAGCATCATTAGTCACACAGGTCAACTCGTGCATCATGAATGCTAGAAAAGTAGTGGAACTACTAATTCTTAACATGATTATTCTTACTTGGGTCCTGGCCCTGCTTTTGTCAAGGTGCATTTGTGCATTTGACCTTGAAATCCGGCCAAGCATTCGTGATGCAACACTCCGAGTGGGGTTGGTCATCGTTTGCCACCGGCAGATCACATGGTCAAACGATGCCTCTGGTGTTGTCAGGTTGAAAGGTGAGACAAAACATTGTAGATCCACATGCACCCAAAGTGGCTCCACACTTTTGGTTCTCGGAACCCTGTGAAACCTAAGCGCCATATTGCAGTAAGTTCAGAGTAGATGTGACAAACTCACAAGTGATGGAGCTGCAGAAGGAAGCCTCTCTATTCCCAGAGTCCAAGAGAATCAATGAACCTATGATATCCTATGATAATTTATTAACAGCTATGAACTATTTACCTATTGCCGTAGCTTGAGGTACAAACAAACAATCAGGGGTGATGCGGCAGCATGGACCAGGGTGACATAGGATGACCTTCTTCGATCCGAGTTTCTAGTCCGCGCCGAGTTCGGGAGTCAATGCTGTCCATCCGAGGCAGAGGAGGTGGTCATGGAGATGTTTCGCTTCGATGGCGTCGAGGGCCTGCTGGGCGACGGCCAGTCCTGGAATTCTTTGGCCGCTGGGCGGTCCTGGTTTTTCATGTTTTTCGTTCTGAAGCAACGTGGGAAGTCGAATTTCACAACGAGCAGCGAACGGTGACCCCACCCAGCTCACTCCAGCGAACTAGTCGCGTTCCAGCTGGGCAGACTGATATGCATCTCATTAAGCCCATCGCGCGGGCCCCATCTGTTCAACAGTCTTCAACTAACTAAGTAAATCAACTCCATCCATCCCACCTCTGCGCATCCCTCCGCCTAGATGATCGTCTGTTGTATCTTGGGCGCCTTGAGCATCCTCCTCTTCCTCTCGCGGCTACTCTGCCGCCCTCCACCCAAGCTGCAGCACTTCCTCGCGGGCCTCTTCGGCGCCCCAGTCGGGGCACTCGCCACCGTACAGGCGCAGAGAGAGAGAGAGAGAGACAGACGTGGACCGCGGGTGAGGTGGGTAGGGATTTGTGGAACCCATGTTTGCGGCAGCGCTGTGTGAGTGATCGAGACCAAGAGATGTAATCTGAGATGTGCATACTAGATGATCAAAGGACTCCAATTTCTGTGCGTTTACTTGCAGCCCTGGTGAGGCCATCTACTTCTATTGGAACTCTGATGGCTCTGAGGCTCCCTTGGTCTACGGCATGGTGGCTGGGAACAGGGTAAACTTCCATTTGCTGCAAGCAATATTTTTTTTGTTTGTGTGTGTTTGGCATTTTTGTAGGGTTGTGAAAGTTCCAATCATGCCTCATATTCTTTGGCCTGAATACAAATAACCTTGCAGGGGCAATGGTTGGAAGTTCTGTAAGCAATGGACGCAATGTGAGCCAAGCGTTATTTATCAACGATGAAGTGAAGATGAGTTTCATTAATTTTCAATGAGTGCATGCTTCATTGTGCGGCCCTGATTTTCCAACCACACCCACACAACAGCCGCCCTTGTGACCGGACCAAGGCGAGGTGGTGCTCCGACCCTTCCTCATGCAAGATTTTCTTTTGCACCTTTTGCATCTTGCTTGGACAAGCCACGCACGGAAAACAACCCACAACACGTGGTCTTTAAGAGCCAGAACACCAATTGGGGAAAAACATGGAAAAACAACAACACAAACACGCATCATTTGGCTGGTCTTGGACATCTGATGTTTCATGCCTCAGATGTGGTGAGACGTTTGTAAGCTAGAAGTGTTGTAAAGCTGATGTTTCCTCATGCGAGGAGTTTCGGGATGTGGCGCGTGCTTCGGACTAAAGACCTACGGAGGGAATGCGCCAGCCATGTTGTAGATGTTGTCCGTCGTCATGCTAACGGAGGACCGAGGGATCATGTACATAAATAGCCAAGAGTCGCTCCCAGAGAGTTCAATGGTTGGATATTGATGGATGAAAGTTCCAAACAATCCGTGCTTTACTAGAGCTTGTGTGCCTTTTGGGCTTTGTTTAGACTTATTCCATCAACTAAAGTCAAGGGAGCTAGGCAGGCTAGGTTTGCCTCCTCAAGTAGCAAGTTAAACATTAGAGCCGACGACCCTTGCGCCCTTCGCTGCTCAGGTATCCTGAACATCGTGAGCGTCATCACGCAGCTTTTGACACTATCTTCACATCAGGGGGCCCCCTTGTTGGCTTCATTCAGCTTCAGAAGGGGTTGGGGTAGGTCCAGGGGTAGGTCCTGCTACTTTGAGCCGGTTGGGCTAGGTTTTTTGTTGTCACCAGTGCGACCGGTGCCGGTTGATTGGATGCAGTGGCCCAGGATTTACAGCGGCTTTAAGGAGTACTGGTCCGACAGGAGTGGGATCTGACCTGACCCTTTTCCGCTTCGGATCTCCGTGCGGCCGGAGATAAATACACTGAGAGGGATATGGACAAGATTAGAAAGAAGAGTGAGCAAGTCACTGATTCAGGCAGCCAGAAACAGACAGAGAGAGAGAGACATAAACACAAAAACACATATTTGGCTGACTGGCAGCTCGGCTGGCATGACTCACCTTGTCACTGAGCCGGACACCCCACCCCACAAGCTGAGACTACCACAGAAGTTATTCAGAAAAAGATACATCTCTTCTCATTTTTCTTTCAACTTTGAAAGGTGTTCGCATTTTGTTAACCTTTGAGACCCTCCATCCTAACTCCTAAGCTGTAACTTCGTCACTGCTTTCGCAGGAAATATGCTCCAGTGCCATTTCGACATCCTCGCGCACGGTCTGTGAGCTTCAGCGAGGTGAATGGTGACACTGAGGAGGATGACGAGACATGGGATATGGGATGCAGCTTGGCTGTGTTGGCCACAGCTGTACTCGTTACCGTGTTTGTTTCTCGCTGATGACGTAGACATGGTTTATACAAACGAGAGGAAATACATGGGAATACTACCCGCCTTGAATGTGCTTATCCGTTCTTGTAGGGGAACCGTTGAGTGATTGTCATGTTGATATGAGCTCAAGCACTTGTGTAAAGGGTCCAACCCCGGTATGATGCCAAGACGCCAAGACTGTAGTTTCGTGGCGGAGGCATGCGCAAGCCCACTTGACTTTACTACTCCATCAAGATACCGATTCTCGCTAGTCCAAAGAGGTTTCACAGGCACAATTCACATATATATATATATATATACGAACCACGAGGGCATCTTCAATAGATTAGATGGTATATAGGTGCAATTGGGTGAACGAATGCTATTGATAACTATTTTGATCAATATTTATACGTAAAGTCACATCAGTGCACAACTCTCTACATCCTTGGTGATGACATGGTGATATCATGCAGCAATTCCTCCTACGGGCCTTCTGTTCCTGGTGACCGTCCCCCGCGAAAACGACGAGGCAAACGGATCCGTGCAACGACCAGGTGCTCCAGATGAAGGATCCGAGACGTGGCACATGAACCTACAGACGCCCAGGTGCGGAAGCGTCGGGGCGTTGCAGCTGGGCGGTGGAGGTGTTTACGTGCCTGGCTGACCTGACCTGAGCAGGAAGCCCCTGCAACGAAGCAAGAGAAATGTAAGTGAGAGTGGTTTCGAGATGAGAATTCTCCCTGCTTGGTGGTCAGCTATGCGAGTGATTCTGGTGCAGTCCGTGAACATTTGCACCCTATCATGCTGGTGGGCAACTGCAGAGGACGCATTGCATTTGTCGTTTTGATATACTGTATACAACTTGATAAATATGAGGTTTAGTGGGGGGTCGCAGAGATCAACTGCGTAAAATCTTTGGACTGAAGATGGACGATAAGTAGGCAAGAACAGGCAATGAAAAGACATCCGAAGGTCACAAAAGGACAGAAAGCCTTACTGTAAACGCTTAGACTTAAACAAAATATGCACATGAGTCCCAGGGTGACTGTGGATGGGAGATTCGAGCAAGCCGCTCCATTTGTGAAGGAGCAGCTCCAGAGGATATTGGATTTGAAACGTATACTATGAGATGTTGGATCGAACGTGGTCTCGACAACGCAGGGTTTAGATTGTCTACCATGGATTGTAATTGAAGACGTGCAGGTAGAGTACAAAGACTTTTTAGCAAGGATTACACCTTAGTATGTGGCGAAACGTTTTGCTCTTCAGTCACACCACACAAATTGATATATAAATAATATATATATATATACAATTTGGGATTTGGCATTATGGTATGGCTTTGAGCAACCCTTTGGGATGGCACAGGCACAATCCCTTTTCATAGAAATATGCCTTTAGGAGCATCCATGTGCTCAAGTTAATGCCCTTGGCAAGTCCCGGGGACAAGCATTTATGTAATTTTATATGTGTTACCATAAACTCAACATAGGCCAGAATTCCGGTCAACATTTTTACAACAACTATCAGATTCCAAGGTTCCACGGACACCACGATTGATCGCAAGATATCGCAACCTGCACCACCACTTGCAGCTTTTGCTTTTTGTCTCCACCAGAGTTCCTTTATGCCGAGGTGGACATGTCCGAGATGTCCATCATGTCATTCTCCCCCAGCTGACCAGGTCTTGCTGGATTTTCCTCACCGCCGTGGTGACCCTCTCCTGCGCCGCTTGGACTGTACAGCAGGGCCAATCAAGTTCGCCGCAGCAGTCTGTCGCTTCAGGTTGCCAGCGTTTGCTTCACCTACTTCGTGAAGTGGGCCAGCAATACTGCCACCCAGTTCTTGGTTGCGCTCATGTACATTTTGACCAATGAAACCTGGCTTTGTTAACGGCTTGGAGTTGAGTGGTGCGGAGATTGTTTTGAACCATTGATTTCTAGATTTCGTTTGATGCATTGGGACTTGCGCTGGACGCCCTGAAGCCCCTCCCCAAAGCCCAGGTTCTGACGGCGAAGCACTCGGCATGCCGCATTTTAGGTGCCTCTTTGTAGTCCCTCAGCCTTACTGCGTGTAGGTGCCGTTAGCATCGTACGTCCCGAGGCATTTTGTTTGTGGAGCATCATCGAGTTCTTCCTGCTCACCTTGTGGTTTCATACCATCCGACTGGTTTGTGGCATGCCGCCACTGCCAAAGCGCAATTTCCGAGAGGGCAGCTTGGTGGTAGAAAGAATCCTGGTGAACTGAATGCAAATGTGGAACCTGATGAAGGGGAAGCATGGACCAGAACTCACATATTCACGATATCACAAACATGTTGTTTCTCTATATATATAATATAGATCGTTCTAATCTGCATGGTGAAGCTCCAGGTCTGGATCGTCCGGGCCGCACCTGTATGGCCTACTGCTTGCTCTCCAAAGCTCCACAGTCCTCGGAAGAGTGCTTCAGCACGGCCTTGGAGGCACACTTAGCCAACTTGGATCCCAACATGCGGATCACCACCAGCGTGGTGAGCGTTCCCTGGCCCAACAGCGTTTCCATGGCGGTTGGGACCAATTCCTTCCCCACCGAAAACACCGCGGGCGGACTGAATCAGGTCACCGGCTCCTACGAGCTCGTTCGCTTGGAGCTGGACTTGCGCGACCAAGCACGTGATGAGATCCGAAAGCGTTTGCATCACGAGATGCAGGTGCCGCGGCACCGAGACATATGTGCGGAGGGGTGTTGAATGGTAGCAAGATGTAGTAAGGGACACGGACACCGCCTTGGAACTTGATCCAACTTGGAGATGTGATGTTAGGATATGTGATCAGGCACGTAGGGGCGGATGGAGCTTGGGATGAGTGAAGAAGGTATCTGGTATGACACAATTCAATCAACATGAGCACCGCACAAGCTTGGCCATTCTTCATTTTGAGTCATTTTGTGGACCATGTTTTCTGAATTTCTTGCATGGCTGCATGACCATCCCTTGATACTTCGACGCACAGGTGGCGCTCTCCTCGACGCACATCGAAGCTGAACATCTTCGTGGCTTGACCGAAGTCCGTCTCCATCCGTCTCAGCAGGATCAATGGAGAAACATGGAGAAAGGTATGTAAAGCATTCATGCTTATGGGTATATAGCGCACGGGCCTCAACAGGAGGCCAGGCAGGAGATCACTGCCAAGCAGGTGTCCACTCCCCTTTTGTTCATGAATGGTTGTGGTCCTTAGTGCTTGTATTGAGGGAAGTCATCGCATGATGCAAGATTGATACTGACGTGGTTATGCAATTAGAGCAGGTCAGAGTTTTGACATTTTTTCACTGACTAACATCATCATGTGGCCAGTGAGGTTCACACCTTCACCTTCATCTTTCCCACATCTCTGAGACTCGTCTTCCGTGTCCAGCAATAGCACGTGACTGATATGCAGCATGCATCAGCATGCGGTACACGAAATGCCTATATCTACCTGCTTTACTGGAAGCTGTTTGAATTGTCTCTAGTAACAAAGAGCATCGCTACTAGGAGCAAGGACGCTACTAGTAGCTCCTGGCCATACTACTAGTGACTGGAAGCTGTTAATTAGTAACTAGAAGCTACTAGGTGGAGGCCATCGCTATTAGTTTAGACGTTTCTTCACCGAGACGCATCGATCCGAGAAGACTCATTTCGAGACCGTCAAACCAAGACGCATCGCTCTGCTCGGGACACTGAGGAAAGCGCTGCCCGGCGGGTAGATTTCTGGCACAGTTTGTTGGATCCTAGCAGGGGCTCTCCTCAAGAACTACCGCGGAGGTTGACATCCATCATTGAAGAGGCTGCAGCACCACGACCGCAAGGTGACGGACCGCCAAGTCCGAGGTGCTTTGAAGGTCAGAGGAGCTGCAGAGAGCTGCGAAGGTCAGAGGAGCTGCAGATGCTTTCTGATGGTTTTCACATGTTCCTACCATGGGCCCAACACGGGAAGCTTATGGTCATCATAGCCACATTAGACGTTTCATGTCTTGGGTGGTCATCCCAAAAGAAAACCACTTACGACTCGGTCACGAACTGAGGCACACTTCATCTACTTGCATAGAACATGCAAGATCCTGAAGAAGCCGGGACAGTACCAGGACCGATTGACAAATCGGTGAATTCCTTTGGGATGTGCCTGTAGGTCGCAGAATGTGTAGCCTCCCACGCCAGAATTGCAAAAGAATTACTAAAATCTGTGGCACTCTGGGCCATGCTAGGCCTAATTTGCTTTTTGCGACCATACCCACGTTAGGGCCGTTATTGTGTAGGACTTGATGATCCTGGCGTCTACCGGCAACAATCAGGCCGGATGAGTCACCGGTTTTGCCGGCCGGGGGTTGGGGCCAACAAACTGTGTATGCAATGAACGTTTTGGAGCCTTTTTGTATAGACTATACACAGCGGATGCTGTGCTGCTGTAAAGAACCGATACAGGAGTTCTCACAGGCTCTCACAAGCTGTAACAGGCTCAAGGTTTAGTGACGATACAGTATTAGTGGGCATGTGTTTGTGTTGCACTGTTGCACCTTTCAAGTGACAGTCGATTCAGATGGCAAATGGCAGGACCCACCCATTTGCTTACCTCACTTTACTTATCTATCAGATATCATCCTTTATCTGTGTGATCCAGACCCAGGCGTATACTTATTTGGACACGGACTATGGAAAAGATGGCCGCAAGAAGGGCAGCGAGTGCTTTGGCTTCTCAGGCAACGTCGCTATGGAGAACCTTGGAGCGGCAAGAGGAACGTGCAGGACTATGTGTGGGTGTTTTTCTCAACGTATACTTGTAATCCCGAGTACCTTTTAAAAAGCCTCCCCAATTAAAAAACACCATGTCCAAAACTCTAAATTCGGTTTATATTTGTTTATAAATTACCGCCCTTTCAAACAGCTACTAAACTACCAACATTGTTGATTTTTGGTGTAGTTAATTTTTGTGCCCAAACAGTGTGGGCACACTGAGGGGTTCTTACGGTAAGGGAAAAGCAGCTGATGCTTAGATCGCTGAAGCGGGCCGGCGTGAACGGCTAATTCATTGCTATTTACAGTGCATTCATGCCGCTCGACATCGTCAATGTGCATTTCGACTGCGCAGGCTCGCAGAATCTGGGTGGCTGAGTCAGAGGCGGGTGCTTCTGGCGACTGCGCTCTCGTTGTGGTGCCGTGCGCATTTTGGTACCAAAGCCGACTTTTCGTGACAGGTGCAAGGGATCGGAGCTGTTTTACTTGGAAATGCAGTTTTCGTGGCAGGTGCAGCACTTTGGACATGGTGATGATCGTCGAGGAGCTCAGATTTCGTGACAGGTGCATGTGAATCGTGACTTTTGGACATGTGATTCGTTTGCAGATTTCGTGGCAGGCACAGCACTCTGTGACCCTCGATGTGCAGACTTCGTGGCGGGTGCAGCACTTGGTGAACCTCGAAGTGCAGATCTCGTGGCAGGGGCAGCACTTTGTGAACCTCGATGTGCAGAGTTCGTGGCAGGTGCAGCACTTGGTGAACCTCGAAGTGCAGATTTCGTGGCAGGTGCAGCACTCTGTGACCCTCGATGTGCAGAGTTCGTGGCAGGTGCAGCACTTGGTGAACCTCGAAGTGCAGATTGCGTGACAGTCACAGCACTTTGTGAACCTCGACGTGCAGATTTCGTGGCAGGCGCAAGCACTTGGTGAACCTCGAAGTGCAGATTGCATGGCAGTTGCAGCACTTTGTGAACCTCGAAGTGCAGATTGCGTGGCAGGCACAGCACTTGGTAAACCTCGAAGCGCAGAGTTCGTGGCAGGCGCAGCACTTTGTGAACCTAGACGTGCAGATTTCGTGACAGGCACAGCACTTTGTGAACCTCGACGTGCAGATTTCGTGGCAGGCGCAGCACTTGGTGAACCTCGAAGTGCATATTTCGTGGCAGGGGCAGCACTTTGTGAGCCTCGAAGTGCAGATTTCGTGGCAGGCGCAGCACTTTGTGAACCTCGAAGTGCAGATTTCGTGGCAGGCGCAGCGCGTTGTGCTTTCAGATGCTCACCTCTCGCTCTCACTCGTACACTCTCGCGCTCACACTCACCTTCTCTTCACTCACACTCACATTCACACTCACACTCACCCACTCACAGTCACATTCACATCCACACTCACCTTCACTCTCACTCACACACACACACACTCACACCCACACTCACCTCACTCTCACCCTCATTCTCATTCTCACTCGCACACTCACTCTTTCTCCCACTCTCACTCACACCCACTCCCACACTCACTCACACTCACACTCACTCACTCACCACCACCGCCACCGTCACCACGATCCCCACCTTCATCACCACCATCCTCTCTGGACCCCAATGCGGCTAGATCTCTAGACTTTCTGCTTATGGACCTCACACACACACTGTTTGGGGTCTCTTGCCGGGATAATTTGCTAGGTTCCAAAAACAACCGGTAAAGGTTTTTAAATTGTTTGTAGGGGAAAAGGAAGACACTTTGATCTGGAGGTTTTTTGAACTTTTGATACGCCTTTAATAGAGGATTATTATATATATATATATTTTTTAAAAAAATGCGTTTCTTTTTGGTTTTGAAGCTCTTCCCAGGTGACCCTATTTTGGACCATCCTGATTTCAGGGACCCCCTATTTAAAATAATGCGGCCGGAGGTTTCCTTATTGGGGTGGGGGGACCCCGTGTTTTTAATAGGTGGACAGGATTAAAAATTAGCAGTCCTTGCAAAACATGATCAATTGGCATAAGATGATTGGACACACAGAGACGCCTCCGGGACGAGTCATGCCCGCCAGAGAGAGAGAGAGAGATACTAATTTTAACTCTTGTTCCTAGTAGCAAGGCCAGGAGCGCCCTAGTAGCGTCCGATCGCTCCTAGTAGCGATGCCCTTTGCTCCTAGTAGCGAACCTTGTTCCTCAATGCTGTTTCCAAATGATTTGACCTCCGCTTTGAGCCGCCCGGTGTGGGCGGCTCGCCACCGGCTGCCCGGAGGAACGGCAACGCGGAGTCCAATAGTGCGTTGGTCCACGAGTTGGAGCGGCGTGGCATGCCCGATGTGGAGCTGGTGAAGCAATATGGTTCTGATCCCAAGAACAGGTACTTCTACACCATGGCCCCTGGGCATCAAAAGCGGGAAGGGCTTTTAGCGGGACTTTGGTTGGTGGCAGGACGCACACGTGACGCAAGCTGTTGAAGGGGAGGTTCGTGAGGTGTTCTCCTTGGACTTGGAGGTGATGAGTGACTGCACCAGGGCTAGCAGGCATCCTTTGTATTTTCCGGCCGCCGGACGAGCATGTGGCCGAAAAGCGGCAGCAATCCTGTAGATGGAGGCTGAAGGTGGTGAGGAGAATCCATGAAGAGATTTCAGCGTCTTGTGGGTGACCTGTTTCCTGGAGGGGCACATGTATACACATGATGTATACATGTAGCATCATGTAGCATAGTAGAGTCTGGTAGATGTCATGTCTTGGGTTTGCAGTGTTCCAGCACATGTGTACCTGCAGTGTCTTTGGTTTTGTCCAAGCACCTGGACCTGTCAGGTGTTGGACTCCGATACCATTTGCCCGCCTGGAAGCATCCGAACCTTGATCGAATCGGCGGAGCATCCAGCCAACAGGCGAGTGGCAAACGTGCGGAGTGCGGCTTAAGCGCAGCGGATTTGTGGCGTCACCAATCATTTCATCACTCATCAATGTTTGTATGTTATCAATGTTGTACAGTATGTTTCTTTCATTTCACGCGGAAGCGCGTGCGGCGTAATTCTGGGATGTTTTTTTTCTCGGATTGCGCTGAGATGGCACATGGTCCTGGATTGAAGTGTGGATTGTGGATGGTTCCTTTCGTACTTTGTGATTGGATGATTTCCCAATTGGGGGCAAGTGACGTCACCAAGAATTCTACTTAAATTGAAATCTACTTTTTAATTCTAATTCTTGTTTCTATTAGCTTCTTGTTGCAAGTGGTAAGGAGAGGAGCCCCTTCCTTCGTAGCGTCCGATCGCTCCTACCCCCGTCACACTTGGTGACATCAGGGCCTTCGGCATCATCAATGCCAACCTGGCGGTGGACTACACCGCGAATGACGCAGACTGCACCTGGCACATGTGGAGGAATGCGACAACATGGTTCTTTGATGCTGTTTTGGCTAGTGTCCCACTTTGAAAGAAGGACAATCACAAGAAAGCAATCATGATGAGCCCTACTACAGGGCTCCATAATTATTACAACTGTGGTCGATGTGTCGGAGTACCAATGACCCACCAGCATCCGAAAGGATTTTCCAACGCCGTTTATTCATGTTTATTCATGCTCTTAAGCATTGCCTCACTGAAAACAATTGAAATCATGAGGTGAAGCTACCACTCAATGGCGTTTGTTTCCTCAATCAAGCTGCTCCACCCCGATTGCTCGCCTCGCCGGAGGAATGCCTTGATGGAGGTCTCAACCGTGAACCTGGTGCGGGGGCAGTTTTGGATTTTCAACCGGACGGGCTTCTACGGGAAGGGACTCATCCGGAATGAGATGTACATCTCCAGGCATCTCAGTCGCATCGATGAGGAAGTTCGACGAGTTGTCGGCGGTAGGATTGCGGTGCTATTCGTGTCTGCCGTGGCGGTAGGAGCTCTGTTTCAAGAAATGTTCAAAGGTAGAAGACAGCGACGGCGACATCTCTTGCAACTGTTCCCATGAATGGTGTAAATAACTATTCAATTAGAACAAATCCTTTATAGATTTTTTTAGTAAAGGCTTTGTTCCTCAACTTCGTTTTGCTTGAGCTGCCACATTCCAAGCTCACGGGTCCTGGCCACCGGGCACCAGCCGGCCGGACACCTCGTTCGCTCGTTCTCCCCAGCGGTTGCACGTTGCCACCATTGGATCGCCAGGCTCATTGGTTCCCCGGGCCGTTTGGTGGAAGCGTTGCCCATTGACATCCTGAGCCACGACACGGTCGAAGCCAAGTTGTTGCAACCGGCGGTGAACGTGAATGTCACTCTCTATGAGGAACTTGGTGTGGGACATGAATCGGGAAGGCAACTAAAAAGCAACATGAAAGCGGCCTACAATTCTAGATTCTAGAGATTCTACACTATCAGACAGATAAGAAACAAGGCACAGGGCAATCGCAAAACATACCCACTTTTTCCTTTAATGTTCTATCGACCCTATTCTTGGATTGGATACCTAAGTGTCCAGAATCTGACTTTGATTCATAGGATTCAGTTGGGCAAACGAATCAACATGATGTTTGCCAGCTCGTTTCTTGGGACGCCCATGAATTTCCCTCGCTGACTGGCGGTTCGGTTTGGCAACCCAGAGGCCTCAGGAAGCATGAGCCACTCCCGTTCGGGATCGCTATACAAGATTCTTCAGCTGAGAATGAGAATGAAGAGACACCATGACTCCGCGAATGCAGCAGTACTTCCAGACACCCATTCACTATGAGTGTCAGACACCATGACATACCATGACTACCATAACTTTGTGAGTGTCAGACACTTAATTTGGCATGGATTCTTGAGAGGCAGTCCCCATGGATTTTTGGGAACTATGGACACCTTGTGTGTCGGAGCGTTGGACATTTTGGACGCCTTCCCGCTTCAGGACGTGGCCAGGAATCCCATCAGCGCTTTATCCCAATCAACTCGATGGATGTTTGGTGAGGTGAAGAACGCATGTGGCTTACTTGGCAACTCAGTATGTTGCTTTTTCATGGATGTCATTTGTTCGTCTAGATATGTCTAGATTCTTGGTTAAAGTTTAAGTGACAATGGCTTGCCCCACATTGGTTTGAGCCGATGTTTGGTTGAACGGCTATTTGGCAGAGGCTATCATCCAGATGGATCTTATCGTGGCATCATTTCGTTGCTGACAATGATCTATGCAGGCCGATGTGAGGAATTTCCACGAAAGGAACTGAAATTGCCTTTTGTAATTTGCTACTATTGGATACTTGGCTTTCCTGTGTCGACATGGCTCATCCAAACAATCCCGAACCACCACGGCTCCCTCGGCGCTGTCGGCATGTTTCCCTCACCTGACTTGCTGCTGGAGGCCTGGTGGAATGCAAACCACGAGAAAAGCCCTGGATTCGTTGGCGGGAAGTGCCTTGCTCCGTGTCCGCCGAATATTTAAGCCACACCGGCTTCCGGCTCTTCCACGCCGGGCCAGGCCAAGGGACGAAGACGCGCATTTCGGCGGGCGACGCGCGAAGCGCGGGGGGGACGGGGAAGACGAAGGGGTTTGGGATGAAAAGCAGTTGAATTAAGCACCGGGGAGCATATGCACAGGGAAAAGGTTCAGATTGTAGTTATAGAGTTATACCACCTGGACCGTTTGCTTCTCATGATGCGTCCATCCTTTCTTTTGGATCTGGCCTTCGCTTTTTCTCCGGAAGGCATTTTGCTGGTGAACATTGCCACCTCCTTGCTGGCCTTTCAGAAGTTTGGCCTGGAGCTTCAAGTCTTGCCAGTCGTGCCCGGGCAGAACTCCCGACCCAAGTGCGGGAGTCCAGCGGTTGGATGAGTTGTTACCCTGGTGCAGGCACGGCCACCGTGCAACGGTGGCACAACCGGTTTAGGACTTTAGGATACTTGTGGCATTTGGTGACTCGAGGATCTATAGAGGTATCACCCATTCACCGTTGCAGGCTTGCAGGGTGGCTATCTAATGTCATTCAGTGGAACACCCTTTTGGTTCATTGAAGTGTGACCCGCTGCGCGCTTGTTTCAGCCAAGGATGGTGCAGGAGTACACTAGGAATTGTTTTGGCCAAGCAAGAACGTGTACTTTTGGAGGCCCCGTGGATCACTAGTGGCGAGAAAACCAGCACCACAAGATGAAAAGGGTATTTCCAGGGCATCACGCTGCACCCAGGTGGGTATGTATGCCTTTCTTTTCACCGTATTGGCGCTCTTCATCATCCCAAAGGCAGGGGGCGCATTTGGCTAATGCGCGTGGACCGGCACGCCGTCCCCGATCCACGGTGGGTGCGGCCAGGGTTTCTTGATGTTCGACAAGCTCCCATCCTTGAACCTGGGCAAGTGGCTCCTATGCACTGGGAAGTCCTCCAAGACGCGTGGCAGCGACTGGCATCGTGGGCATAGGGGTTTGTTGGGTTGTTCTTTTTCAGGATGCCAACCGCATCCAATCACATTATTTATGTGAGGAATGAGCCTCATTTCTCAGGGGACTCTGCTTGACAAAAGTCAAGTATAGTTTCCATCCATGGGCAGGAAGTGTTACAGCCTAACAGGATGCCGAAGTCAACCTCATTTCTCCTCAAGGCCACTGACGTGACACCAAGCTTACCATCCGCGGCATCCACACGCCGCACATCGCCAGTAGATCTTCAATTCAGGTATATATCTCTTCCAGCATCTACTCTCGAAGCACTTCAGATCCTCAGCATGGAAAATGCTGGCCCGCGTGGCGTTGGCCGCATCGCCAGGATCGGAGATGGCGAGTTCTCGTCCTCGGAGGAGGACTACGACCAGTCCATGATCCCCCCGGGCGCGAGAATCGTCCGGGATGAAGATTCGGATAGCGAGGAAGAGGTGCGGAGTGGTGTGGAAGGGGTGGTGTGGTGTTCTGGATGTTCCAGGTTTGTGGTGTATAAATTATTGTGGTGCTAGTATTGTTGTCATTTGTTGTCAATTTGCCACATCTATCGAGTACAATTTTGATGGAGACATTTTTGTACTGAGTTTGGATCAATCTGCATCATTTCCCTGGAGCGGCACTGCAGATGTGAATGCTTGCAAGATCTTGCAAGCAAAGCTATATGTTGTTCATTGCTTAAACGACCTGCGGGTTTGGCAGGACGGCCTGAGTCACGACGGCCACGTCTCACCATCGTTTCAGCGGATCCTTCAAGCGAGTGTATGTCTCTCAGGTTTTAGCACGACTCGCACAACGAACACTTCATCGACTCACCGAAGCTAGCCAAATGTAGAGAACGAATCATGGAACCAGGTGCATGTCATTAAATTTAGACATGTGTAAGCATGTATATAGTTTATTTATTTACTTGATTTTGAATTATATCATGCAAATATATCAACATCTGCTTTGCCGCAGGTCGAGGAGGAGAAATTGGACCGATGCTCCGTGCTGATCAGGCGCTTCAAAGCAAGTGACCGCAAACATCCTCAACTTGGAAACGTGCCAAATGTTAACACTGTACATCAGTGTGCAGGAAAGCTTTTCGATGCCCCCTTTGTGGGAGAGATCTAATGATTAGACCGCCAAACGGCCCAAAGCCGCCGTTTTGTTAAGTATTCATGTCCGAGTCCATTTGGTGCGCTAAGTTGGTGGGGATGGCCAGAAAACAGGGCACAAGCTGCTTTTGTCTCGGGGGTTGCGGATATACCTTCCACCTCCCCATGAAGAGCGGTGCATGTGTGCATTCCTGTGGGTGCTCCCTCATGGGTTGTGAAGACTTAAGGATTGTGGTATCCCTCATGGGTTGTGACTTCCGTTGGCCAGAGCGTTTGGCTGGAACCACCCCGTGGACCTCTCTTTTTCCATTTCGACTGATTCTTCCTCAGTTCTCACATTGAAAAGACTTGACTGTAACCGCATGTTTGGCTTCCTAAGGTCAGCGTGGCTTCCTAAGGTGATTCTTTAATAGCTATTCATGCATCACAGACTCTTCACAATTGTTGTCAGCTGTATCCCAGAGCTCCACTTGTTAACGTGTTTTTTTCCTCGGATTTGTGGGACACCATCCGGGCGGTTCACGTGTTAACCGCCCAGCACAAGGCAGTTGGCTTTGGCACTTGTAGAGATCAGCCTGTCCATCCTGCTGTTCAGCCCGGAGCTCATCATCGGGGTGGTGCGCCTTGTGCGTGGTGCCTGGGCACAGGTCAAGGGGAAGCCCAACTGGCAGCCACAGGATGCGGTGGAGAAGGACCAGTGTTGCAGATGTTTTGCAACGTTCATTTGGTGATTCTGTACCGGAAAAAAATTGTACCAATAGTTGGCACAGTTGACATAGATTCTGTCCAGTTGTTGGCTTGGCATCAGTTGGCATGTCTTTACACTGGTCTGTGCTGGTGGTTTACACATTTCCGAGGGGTTCAGAACGGCCGGAAGTCGTGAAGAAGAGATGTGAGAGTTGCTGGATTTTGTGGGTCAATACCTATAATGAAAGGCCTTAAGAACTGGGAGCTCCTCAATTCGTCGTTCACATGGGACCTGTTTTGTGAAGGAGCTCTAACTCATTCTTCGTCTCCACCCAAAGAATGCAAGATGGTGAAAGCGTCAAGAAAGTAGGCCGCCATGGACTTGAAAGTGTGATCCAAACCTTTGACCTGTTCCTTTTGAGTTTGAGGTTCCACACCGAAGGGTGTTCGATGACGGCTGCACCTTGTGGGTGCATACTACCAGAATGATTTAGTCATAATTACTTAGTAGCATTGGCCGTTCCAAACGATGACATGATTTGCAGGAGATCCAGCAGAATCTCAGCTTTGTCTACGTCTTTCGAAAGACCTGGCTTGTGTTTGCCTGTGGCGTGGCCTACTTGATGTATGCCATCGTTTGCCGGATGCAGGATGCTGTAGTTGCTTGGGTGCAAGCAAGTGTAAGTAGCACACTTTTGATGGGGATTGGGCAATGCCACATTTGCCAGTATGAGACGCTTCGAATACTCTGAAAGAGTGATGTTGGCTAAATTTGGGAGATGACGATTGTCATCAGTTTCAACTCTCGCTGTGCTTGCAGAGTGAAAAGCATAGCACGAAAGAGAGTTTTTTGGTTTTTGACAAGTCTTTCAATGCTCAACACTCATTGGCTCCGAGAAGCTCAGGTCTACTTGCTGATCGTTTCGTGGATTATGTATCCCTTCACCACCTATTGGATGTGTCTCCCAGTGCCCGAGGGCTGCAAGAAATCTTTCCTTTGGAAGTGGGTCATGGATGTGAAGCGCAATCAAGATTGATGCACTGCACGGTGCGTGGCTTGAAAGTCCCACCAATATACATCAACTAGTGGCCCTGCTGGTGCCATACCAAGCCACATTGCCCTCCCAAAAAAGGCCCTGTTGATCCCTGTTTCTCAAGCTGTTGATTGGTCACCCCATGTGTTTTACCGCCTGCACCGATGCGGTGAGCCGATTGAGCTAATGAGACTGCAACCACTCGATTCAACCACAGAAGAAAAGGTGCGAGGAGGAAGCATTGGGCGTGGTGGCATTATGATTCTATGTTTCTTTTACACATTCACACATAGGTGGCTCATGAAGCAAGCTGTCCCACATGCGCGCAACAGTGCCTTTGTTATCAGCAGTGGGCATTTTTTCTCTTGCAGGACTGGGGATAGAGCTTATCAAGTAGCTTTTCAAGATTGATACATGTGAGGAAATTTATGTGAAGATTGGACACAGGGTCAGTCCTGGTTGATTGGTTTCCTGGTTTCTTTGAACTTTCTTTAGGTCAGATTCAGATTGTAATCATACATAGTCATACCACGTTATTGGGCGTTGCATGTGTTGACCGTTTGACAGTATTGCGCCCGTAAACTCATAGCGGCGTTGTGTGCAAGCCACTGTCGTACCAAGTGACATGAAGAACTTGCAAGGGCGCATGGCTAATTATGCATGCATGACATTACATATAATGATGGATAACCTCTGACTGTTCGACAGGACCGGCCTGAAGCCAGTGCACCGGCCGAAGAGGCTTGGAAAGGGTGGAAGAGCGTGTTTGGGGCATGCTTTGGCTGGGTCTCCAGACAGTACCTGAAAGGTTCCTGAATGGATGTGCTCATGTTTGGGGTCAGATTTTGCCTCACGTGCCAGACATCCAGAATCCATACGAGACAAAATGATACTTGTGCTGCTTGTGCTTGTTTGGGAATGATGCCACGACCTGCTTCAAACAGCGGGCAGAAGCTTCCCAATAGCAAACTGTGTGGGATTCCTTGGTGGTTCGCGCTGTACTGAAGTGCAAGGCGGGGATGCTTTGTGGGGTGATTTGCCAGGTGAAGTGCATTGTTTATGGAGATGTGGTGGTTTGGTGGGTTGTGATGTGGTCAGGTGTAGTTTTTTTTTTTTTGTATGATGCCCGGTGAATTTGTCATGTGGCGAACGAAGTGTTATAAGTTAGCCAAATGCCCAGGCACCTAAGTGGTGAGCTTGCTGAGACTTGAACTAGTCAACTAGTTGGGCCAAAGCCGCTCGCTTCGCCCTGACGGCCCAGGCTGCACCGAGCTTGGTCCCCGAGCTCGGCTTTCAGGCGCAGTTTGCGTCGTGCGGCACGCGTGGGGCCCGGTGCGTCCTCGGGGGACCCCGATCGCCGTGGCCGAAAGGAGGGCCTGCCGAATCAGGAGGACATGATGTTGAAGCCATGATTCAAGAGGCTAACTGCGGCTAACATATGCATCCAGGGGTTGAGTGACTGGGGTTCTTTCACTGACTCATTGAGTCATGCCTGTCAAAAAGACACAGATCGTAAGTCTGCAGATCTTCTTGTCGAAGACACGTGGTGTCCAGTGGACTCTTGACTAGCTAAGTTAGGAGAGGTCATGGTGCCCAGTGCTGCAGCTTGCACCAAAGACGATCCTTGAATGGAAGTTTGAAATGAAGGCTGTGCTTTTTGGTTTTTCTGTTGCATGGCAAAACCTGTAGATCGTTCCATGCTGTTTGTAGTTTGTAGGATTGTAAACGGTGTTGTATGTTCACCTACGTAGGCTTGGCAAATATCCACTGGCCAGGCCGAGCGCTCCCAACAGGAGGGGAGGTGCAGCCAGACTTGGGGCTTGTGGAAACAGTGGGACCATATTGGAACCAACTCTGGCGCTGGGCATGGACCATTTTGTCACGAAAGGTAGCTTCAGCTACTTGAGTTCAATTAGCTTTAGCTACAGGGCAGGATCTCCCAATTGTACTGGTACGCTTCGTGTGATTGGATTCGTATCGAGCTTCTCCTCCCTCCTCGTCATTTGGCTATTGCTGCTGCTTTAGTGTGATTGGATTCGTATGGAGCTTCGCCTCCGTCCCCGTTATTTTACTTCTTTTCTACGTGTGATGCAGCTGTGCTGTGATTGGATTCGTGTTGAGCTTCTCAGCTGCTGCTGCTGCTGCTGCTTTGTTGCTGCTGCTGCTTTGTTGTTGCTGCTGCTGCTGTTGCTGCTGCTCTTCAAATCCCACAGATCTCTCTCTCTCTCTCTCTTTTTTCTTTTGTTCTTTGTTTTATCTTTCTCTTCTCTCTCTCTCTCTCTTCCTTCTCTCCCTCCTCCCTCTCTCTCTCTC